TTTTGTATTTTTAGTAGAGACGGGGTTTCACCATGTTGACCAGGATGGTCTCGATCTCTTGACCTCGTGATCCACCCGCCTCGGCCTCCCAAAGTGCTGGGATTACAGGCTTGAGCCACCGTGCCCGGCCGACCCTACTTTCATCACTGGGAATTGTTTTGCCTTTAACATGAACTCTGAATTTCTACATTTTGACTTCTGGACAGTTCACTTACAAACAGCTCTTACATGCTAGTGAAGCTCTTTAATTCAGTCCTTTTCAGCGTTTTGTTTGCATAGAAGTCACCTGGAAAGCCTTATCCAGAAGCCTGGGTCACACCCTCAGAGATTCTAGTTCAGCTGGTGAGGGTGGATGCCCATGAATTTGCATTTCTATCACCTTTCCTGCAAATTTTGAGGCAAGTAGACTGGTCTATGGGCTCATATTTTGAGAAGCATTACTCTAATTAATACTTCACCCCAGAGGATCTGTAAAACTTTATAATCTGAAGCCTCCATTCACATTCTTTGCTTTTTTACTTTTTATTGATGACTTCTGTAATTACTGAGACAAAGGCCTTCTGATGATAACTCTGTTCTGTTTTCTCGAAATGAGAGTTTTTCTGTTTACCCTTTTCATATTCTTCTCTTCTACTTAGTCCCTTTGTCTTACTTTGTCCTGTTGACTTTTGGCACCTTCTTTACTATTAACCTTTTTGTGTCTTGGGTTATCAGTTTCCCCTTCTATAGTGAATTGGCTGTTTTCTGTCAGCCTTCAGCAATGGTCAAATAAGCCCCTTTGCTCAAAATACCGTTCCCTCCCATATTCCCACCTTCAACCTGTTTTGAAAGAAAAGTAATGGCTTAACTTCTTCACTAGCTATATCTTAATTTCTTGCAGTCTGCTTTGGTTTCCAAAATTTTACTAGATTCTTAGACTGACAGATCAAATGACACCTATGTTTTCGTTTGCTTGTTTGTTTTTTGAGCCAGGGTCTCACTCTGTTGGCTAAGCTCTAGTGCAGTCTCTGCCTTCTGGATTCAAGTGATTCTCCTGACTCAGCCTCCCGAGTAGCTGGGACTATAGGCACGCACCGTCACACCCGGCTAATTTTTGTATTTTTAGTAGAGATGGGGTTTCACCTTGTTGGCCAGGCTAGTCTCAAATTCCTGCCGTCAAATGAAATGCCCCTCCTTGGCCTCCCATAGTGCTGGGATTACAGGTGTGAGCCACCGTGCCCAGCCTGGTGTTTTTTGTTTTTTGTTTTTTTTTTTTTTTGAGACAGGGTCTTGTTCTGTCACACACACTGGAGTGCAGTGGCAGCAACATGGTTCATGGCAGCCTATCCTGAGCTCAAGTGATCCTCCCACCTAAGCCCCCTGAATAGCTGAGACTACCAATGGGTGCCACCTTTCTCAGCTAGTTTTAAATTTTTTGTAAAGGCAGGCTTCTCTATGTTGCCCACGCTGGTCCTGCACTCTTTGGCTCAAGCTTTCCTCCCACCTCTGCCTCCCAAAGTTCTCGGATTGAAAGCATGAGCCACTGTACCCGGCCAACTCCTAGGTCTTAAATATATAGTCCTCTCAGACTTGCAGTATGTGATACTATCCTTTCTCTTTCAAAAGTTTTCTACCTTTGCTTTTCACTCACTGCTTTTGTAAGGTCTCACTGTTCAAACTACTTCAGTTCTTGTTCATATAGTACTCTAATCTGTTAACTGCTTTTTCTTAAAGTTTGTGATGCTTTCCCCACCATCTAAATCTATGCTATCCATTATGGGAGCCACTAACTGCATGCACCTCTTCAGCACTTGAAATATGGCCAGGTCAAACTGAAATATTCTGTAAGCATAAAATACACACTGGATTTTTAATATTTAGGTTGAAAAAAAGAATTTAAAATAGCTTACTAAATTTTTTAAATGTCAATTACATGTTGGTAATACTGTATAGTGGGTTAAGTAAAATGCTAAAATTAATTTGACCTGTTTCTCTTCACTTTAGATATGACTACTACTTCTGTAGCTTGACTATATTTCTGTTAGATAATGTTGGTCTAAATCTCATCTTTCCTTAAGACCTGGGTCACTTTTCTCTCTACTTATAAAGTAACCTTCTGAATTATAGTACCAGCCTTCTTAAACATTTTGTCCTCACCCCCCTCACCCTGCCCGCCTTCCCAATATACTTAGCTTCTTCAAAACAATAGTAATTCCCATAGTGCTGTTCATATAGTGGACACCATATATATATATATCTCACACATATCTGAAAAAAATGACTAATGTTACCACTTTAGGATACTTATGAAAATTGAGGCCTGTTGTGATGTTTTTGCTTAAATTGGTGGTCAGTAGGAGAGGCATTGATGTGAAGGGGAGAAGAGACATCATTCTACACTGAGCTATTAATATTTGACATTTAACATCCCCCAAGTGTATACAGCCACCCCAGGCCACTGATAGCTCTGAACTGTTGTGATTTTACTGCCATCTGGTGTCAGGATTAGGAAACTGTAGTTCAGCATTTTGTCTCTTCAGTAGAGGAAGGTAGATAACCTTTCCTCTGAATATGGACCTACTCTTCTCTGTCCCATAAGCAAGTTATCAGTAAGAGCTCATTTAATTTCAATGTAGGAAACCTTTATTTTCCTTCTTAGGATACTCTTTCCTTGGCTTCTGTGATAAATGCTTTTTCCTTTCTAATGTTTCTCTCCCTATTCTCTCATTCTGTGACAGCCCATTTCTCTCTTCATAGTATAGTTATTTTAGCCTCACATTGTAGGCCTACTGTTCTTTTTTTCCTTTGATTTAATCTATACCATGGCTTTAAGTACTGCCTATTTACAGACAAATTTTTATTGATAGCCAAACATTTCCTCTGAGTTTCAGACTAGTATCTTTAGTTGCTTACCTAGATATTACACAAACATCTTAAATATAACATGCTCCCATCAACATGTGGATCTCCCACCTTTATCCTCATTTTTCAAATTTATTTTTCCTCATTAATCTATCTTGCCAAAATTATGGTAATCAGCCTGGCATCCCTTGTCTTTCACACTTGATTAGTAAAACATTAACCATGTCCCATTAAGTCTAGAAGGTATATTCTTGTACATGTAAAATTGGTGACCCCTCACCTGCTCTTGTCCCATCTAAGCTACCACTGTCTCTTGCCTAGACTAACTTAGGTTCCTCGTTAGTCCCTCTGCATCCATTCTTGGCTGCACTCACATGTTTTATGTGTATTTGTCTAATGTCAGCTTCTCTATTATCTTGAGAGTTCTGTGATGGCAGGAACTATGTACATTTGGTAAACCATTGGGTCCCAGAACCTCACACAATTTCTAAAACCTGTTTATTTAATACCCATATTACCACTCTGGGTAACCAGTGCTATTGGTATGAGACTTGTAGTTTTAGTGACTAAACTAGTGCTGGAATTCCTTAATGCTCTATTTCAGTATTAGTGTTCTATACCAGGTCATTTACCATAAATGAATTTAAGCTATTTTCTGCTTTTTCCCAGGGAAACATACTTGTGTCTGAAGGGACAATATATTTGGGGTGTTCATCAGCTAGTGTTCAAATGAACTTTAGGACAACAGCCTACTTATATCCTATTGACTGCCAATCAATATGCTGAAATAATTTTGTAAGCATTTGAAATTCCATGCTATTGGTTTGTCTTGCAGCACTCTTCTATCTGAAATTTTAATATTTTTTAATGTTGAAGTACATTTGTTAAATCATGGATTAAAACCTGTTTCACTCTTTTTTTTTTTTTTTTTT